CGGCGGCGGGCTGGAGGGGGGCGTGAGCATGGCCGAGTCGGAGGTGTTGAAGCTCTGGCTGCCCAGGGTCTTCATGTTGGAGGAGCTGCCGTGCAGGCCCAGGCCCGAGCTGCTGGACAGGTCCCGCGGCTCCTCAGGGGCGGCTCTCAGCTCCCGGTGGGACGGCGACTTGGGCGTCGGCAGGGACGGCAGGTCGCCCTCCGGCTTGGGCAGGCCCAGTCTCTTGGGCAGGAGTGGAGGTTTGAGAAGACGAGGTCCCTCCTCCAGGGGGGACTTCTCCACGGAGTAGGACTTCAGGGACACGGGCCGGAAGACGGGCGAGGGGAAGCTGGGCTCGGGCCCCTTGCTGCGGTCCACAGGCGTGAGGCCCAGGCTGCGGCGGATCTCAGCACTCTTCATCCAGAACTCCTCCACCAGGTCGCTGCGCTTGAGGGCCTCGTCCCCGGCCAGGGGGCTGCCGAGTCTGTCCCTGCTGTCGGCTTGGCTCTTGACGGGCAGCGGCGTCAAGGGGGTGGAGGTTTTGGCGGGGATGGGCTGGAAGCGTATGGGGGACTGCGTGGGGGACGGGACGGTGGCCTCGGAGGAAGGCTGAGGTTGGGAGCAAATGGGCAGCGGGCTGCAGGGGGGTGTGGAGGCCACCAGGGGCGGCAGGGGCTGCGGGCTCCTGGGAGAGGCGGGAGTCCTGGCTTCTGGCAGGGCCGCCGGCTGAGACCGGATGGGGCAGGGCACAGCCTTCGGGTCCGTGGGGGCTTCAGCTTTGGGCTTTTCTTTGGGGGACAGAGGCTCAGGGAAAAGGTGCTCCTCGGGCGATTTCACCTTGGCGGTGACAGGGGCAAGTGGGACTTGGGACCCCTGCAGAAAAGGAAGACAGATGGAGGTTGCTGAGAAGTCGAGCTTTCCTGCTCAGAGTGCCTGCCCTGTTGAGATGAATTCCTCCTGCGTCCTTTCAGCTGATATCCAACCTGCTCCAGGAGAGCCCTTCTCCCTTTCTGCTCTACCTGTTCAATTTTTAATTTTTTTCCTTTTATTTCACTTTATTTTTTTGAGCCAAGGTCTCACTCTGTCACCCAGGCTGGAGTGCACTGGCACGGCTCACAACTCACACAGCCTCGACCTCCTGAGCTTAGGCAATCCTTCCGCCTCAGCCTCCCAAGTAGCTGGGACTACAGGCATGCACCACCACGTCTGGCTAACTATTATTATTATTTTTTGTAGAGACAAGGTCTAGCTATGTTGCCTAGGCTGGTCTTTAACACCTAGGCTCAAGCAATCCTCACATCTTGGCCTCCTCAGAGTGCTGGGACTACAGGCGTGAGCCATCGCGCCCGGCCTATTTGTTCGATTTTTAGAACCATTCTACTTAGTTTGTGCCACCACGCCTGGCTAACTTTTTGATTTATTGTAGAGATGAGGTCTCGTCAAGTTGCCCAGGCTGGTCTCGAATCCCTGAGCTCAGGCGATCCTCTCACCTTGGCCTCCCAAAGTGCTGGGATTATAGGCGTGAGCCACTGCACCCAGCTGCCAATTTATTCTTAACCCAATGTGGTATGCGACAGAGCGACACAGGGTGGACAGCTCAGGCTTGGAATGGGAGTAGGGTGGTGCTACCCAGACGGCCTCGTCCCCACGAGGACTGAGCTGCAACCCCAAGGCCGTCCCTGTCAACAGCTCTGCTTACCACAGGGAAGAGGAGTTTCTAGACTTTCTCAGAAGGAAGCAGCTAGGAGGAGACCACAGCTCCAGCCTTTGTGGGGTTCACACCAGAGGCCCTAAGACAGACGTTAATGTGCCCTCAGGGTTCCATCTGTTCCTGGCCCCTCAACTGTGAGCCCCAAACCCTTACCTCTGCCACTGGGCTGTGGACGGGGGTGAGGAGAGGTGCTTGTTCTCGAGGGGGCCGGGCCGGGGCAGAGGCTTGGGAGAGCCCTGAAAAGAACAGAGTGTCTTGTGAGAGGAAACCTGCCATTGCCCTGGGAGGGGGGCATGGAGGGCAGAGGGCCAAGCTCATGCCACGTCCTGAGTCTGCCCCTCAGCTCTCTGGGAAAAAGCAGGTCCTCTCAGAGGCTCAGGTCCTGGAAGGTGCCTTCCCGGGCGCTGCCCAGCATTCTCCTCCGCTGGTGCCCCTGTGGCTTACACGCTGTCTTTCTTCCTGTGTATGGTCCTCACGTGATGCTTGGAGACGTACCTTCTACCCTTTCACAGTCACAAATACCACAAGGAAAGGAGCCACTGGCTGAAGTCATCTGCAGAGGCCTGTGGCCCCGGGAAGGTGGAAAGGGGAGGAGACTGGAAGCTGCCTGCCCCTTGGAGGCCAGTGTGTGGGCTGGATCTGCTCGGAAGGGCCTGCGTCCTCTGCAGCACTCTCACACCTCTCCGGAGAATTCTGGAAGCTGTTTTTCCTGCCTGCAACAGACTTACCTGTCTCCCGTCGTTCTGGCGAGGCGGGTGGCTTCTCCTCCTCATCGTCTGACACCCTCAGCTCCAGCTCTGCTGCCACCTCGGCCTGGCGCCGCAAGCGCAGCTCTGTCTCGGCATCCGACGGGATATTGTCAGACCAGGGCTGATCTGGGGAGGGAAGGCCTGGAGCTGAGTTGGCACCCTGAGCCGGGCCAGCTCCTCAGAGAACGGTTCGACCCGCCATCACTTGCCACACAGACGCTCAGGCCTGGGCCACGTGCCATAGCCCGCCAGCCACCCCAGCTCCTGATAGATGCGCGCTCTCACAGTTTAGAGCTATCTCCTGCTTCAGAGCACCCTGTCCTCTGCGATGTGGGGGTCGCATCGAAGGCTTGGGGCTCTGCTTCTTTTGAAATACAGCAGCAACGACACTCGGCAGGCCATGCCGGAGAACGAGACCTAGGGAGAGCCTATGGGGGGCGGGCCTGGCTTCACAGACCCCTCTGCTGTCTAGATCTCCCTCTCTTTTCACCAATGCCGACCTACCGCTGCGAGTCCACGGCCGAAGTCTGTGCTCCCTCATGATCTTTTTTTTTTTTTTTTGAGTTGGAGTCTTACTCTGTCATCCAGGCTGGAGTACAGTGGCACGCTCCTGGCCACTGCAGCCTCGACCTGGTGGGCTCTGGCAATCCTTCCACCTCAGCCTTCCAAGTAGCCGGAACTACAGGCATGTTACCACGCCTGGCTAATTTTTTTTGATTTATTGTAGAGACGAGGTCTTGCCAAGTTGCCCAAGCGGATCTCGAACCCGCAGCCTCAGGCAATCCACTCGCTTCGGCCTCCCAAAGTGCTGGGATCACAGGCTGAGCCACCGAGCCCGGCTTCCCTCATGATCTCGCTGGACTTTTCTCCTCATTTCTTCCAGCCTAGTCCCTGACACTTGCCCTTGCCAAATCAGACTGTGATTCTTCACATCACCTCCTGGCATCCAGCTTTCAGGGGGTGTCTACGAGATTAAGGGTCTCATGGACCAGTGGCCGGGCCAACCAGCGTGTACAGGTGGGTGGAATGGGACGTGTTCGAGTCATGACAGAGCAAAGGACCAACCAGGAGACCCAAGGGCTGCTTCCCTGAGCTCCCTGCTTCTGTTTTAAAGGGTGCAGCCTTCCTCTTCCCCGAGGTCCACACGCTGGCCCTGCCCCCAGTGGGGGAGCACGGCAGGGGTAAGGGAGGTCGGCCCCGTACCATCGTCCAGCTCAGCACCAGTGTCCCCCGGGTCCCCATCCTCGGCCGCCTCCCCTTCTATCTCTGCTGGCTCCGAGTTCACATCTTCCTCCAGGTCATTCTCATCCAACGAGACTGGAAAGCAGAAAGGATCAAAGGAAGGAAAGACAGACGGACAGGCTGCCTCTGCAGCGGGGGAAGAGGTGCTGTCTTCCTCAGGGCTGTGACGTGCAGGCCCCGGGAAGGGGGTGCCAGCAGGCCCGGGCCCCCCCAAATATGGGAGGTTGGGTTTCTCAATGCTAGCGGGCCAGGAGGAAGGAGAAGAGCAGCCGAAGGTTTGGGCGTAATTGTTCCTCTTCCTCCTAAAAGGCTGCTGTGAGAGCCCCAAGTCAGAGGTGGACGAAAGAGGACACACTGCTTTTCCGGGGCCCAGGAAGGTACCCGCCCCCAAATTTAGCCGTGTGAGGCACTGTGTCGACCTCCTCACCTGCCAGAAATCATTTAAGCCTCACAATACAGGCGTGGCATCCCAAATCTCAAAATGTGAAATCCACTTTGAGCACCCACGTGACGTGACGCCACAAGTGGAAAGTTCTACACCTGACCACATATGACAGGTCGCAGTCAAAACCTGGTTTCGTATCCAAAATCGTTGAAAACACTGAGTAAAATGACATTCAGGTTATATGTAAAAGGTACATATGAAATATAAACAGGGCCAGGCTCAGTGGCTCAGCCTGTAATCCCAGCACTTTGGGAGGCCGAGGGGAGAGGATTGCCTGAGCCCATGGGTTTGAGACCAGCCAGGGCCACTTGGCGAGACTGACCTCGTCTCTACAATAAATAAAAAATTAGCTGGGCATGGTAGTGTGCACCTGTAATTCCGGCTACTTGGAAGGCTGAGGCAGAAGGATCACGGGAGCCCAGCTGGTCAACACTGGGGTGGCCATGAGTGTGCCACTGCACTCCAGCCTGAGTGATGGAGTGAGACTCTAATTAAAAAAAAAAAAGGAAAGGAAAGAAAAGAAAAGAAAGGAAATATAAACAAATTTTGTGTTACTTTACTTTTGTGTGTGTGTGTGTAGAGATGAGGAATTGCTACGTTGCCCAGGCTGGTCATGAACCCTTGGGCTCAGGCAATCCTCTCACCTCAGCCTTCCAAAATACTGGGATTGCAGGTATGAGCCACCACTCCCAGATGAATTTCATGTTTAGTCTTGGATCTTAGTCCCCAGGTATGCCATTACCTATATGCAAATATTCCAAAATCTGAAAAGATCCGAAACCAGAAAATATCTTGTGCCAAGCATTTTGGATAAGGGATACTCAGCCTGTAATACAAATAGAGGGCCCATTTCTAATGCCTCTCTTTCAGGGAAAAACTGAGGTCCAGACAGTTTAGTGGTTTGTTCTGGCTGACAGCTAGGTCCAGCAGGCATGGTGCTGTGAGCAGGGGCACACGGTGAGTGGTCAGCAGAACCCCGTGCAGCTGGTGGAGGTGGTAGCTTCTCTTGGGATAACTTAGAAAAATACTTGTCACAGCACCAGGGAGGGTGGCTGCGGGGATATGTGAAGTTCATTCTCTGGACTCAAGAGTCAGTGCTCTAACATGAGGCAGAACATGGGCCAACTTCCTTTCTCCTGAGGATGAGCCTGCCCTAAGCGCACACACACACACACACACACACACACACCCCCATGCCCCAACCTCTGCACACAGAACCCAAACCAGCAGCCTGGAATCCCAGTTACTCGGGAGGCCGAGATGGGAGGATCGATTGAGGACGGGCGTTTGAGGCCATAGTGAGCTGTGATCGTGCCACTGCACTCAGCCTGGACAACAAAGTGAGACAAAGGCTCTATTTAAAAAAAAAAAAAAAAAGGAAAAAGGAAAAGAAAGCAACACACACTTCTTTAGGGACACTGTGAGAGACCTACGCCACCCGAGACCGCCAAGACCCTCTTGCCAGGGACCCCCTAGGGTTCTTCTAATGCTCGAGCACAGCTACCCTCAAATCACTCCTAAAGGTGTTCATCTCCAAAAAAGGGGGAGTCATGTTGATTCACATGGAAGAGGGTCTGCAGCTCAAAGCCCAAGGTCGGGGTGGGGGAGAGCAGAGGAACTAACTGCACACGGCTAGGTGGGTTTCTCAGGAGGCCATGCTGAAGTGGTAGTGGCCAGGCGAGGCAGTGCCCAACCCTTGGAAACCAATGTCTCCTCTCCAGAGGCCGGGAAGGGATATTTCCAAGAAGCTGGTGATATTTAATACCACAACCTGCGTGGCAGTTACCTGAGGCTTTGACCTTGGCTGTGTACTTGTCTAGTATACACAGCTTGTAAGGTGTTGGTTCAAATCTAGTTTCTGGAGAGCTATATAAAAAAGATTTGGGACGGACTAGACAGACAGTCCAGGTCACAGGGAGAGATGGGTGCGGTCCAAACATCGAAGGCCACTTTCCTCCTTTGGAGACACCAGCATGACCCATGGAGCTGGCAGTGCCCAGTGCTTTCCTGCCATGATGGCATTTGCTGGTGAGAATACTGGGGAAAACGACTTCCCGATTTCCAGTGGCCGCCTGTGTGTAACAGCATGGCTCATGGCACTCAGGGAGATGGTTCGTCAGATACTGGGCAGTGGGACTTCCGAGGCTCAAACAAAAGCCCCTCCAAAAGCACCAATCGCCTCTGGGTCTCTGCTCAAACCTGAGCTGTCCATGTGGACATTCAAGGCTGCAATGTACCAGTGCTGAGGAGGCTGGGAGAACGACCCCTGGGCCTTCCTGTGCAGAGGGTCTGTTGGCGCCTGACACAATGATTCCTGGCACGAACCTGAGTGCCTGGGCATCAAGATAGTGACTGCACAGTCTCACTGGCACCAAGGAGATGCCACACAGGCCTCCGCAGCCTGACACGGGCCTTCCCAACCCGACACAGCCCAAGGGACACGGGGTTAGCCTAACTCCAGCCCTGGTCCCTTGGTCCTCCACATGGCTGTCCTAAAGAGTTTCGATTAAGAAATGTCTGCAGTAGTATCAGGACAGCAAGAAGGCTACACTCCTTGGCAGTACCTCAAAAGAAAGATCATTACACACATCAAAAAACAAAACAGGTGAGAAATGCCAATGCAGCAGATGTTGGAAGAGACGCAGCTTGAGGGGTGGAATCGAGGGATTAAGTCCAGGTGAGGATGGAGCGGGGGGTGCTGGAAGCTGCCACACAAATCGGTGCGCTACACGCTATGAAAGCTGGGAATCGCTGACCTACTTAGCTCTCGGGTTATTTTCGGCTGCCGGCTGGGAAGTTCTCACACCATCGCTGCATCCCACCACCCCAGAGATACACACTGACTAGAAGGGGGACCGGCCCTCTCGGGTCACAGAGCTAACGGCTCAGGGACAGCTTTCTCCTCCTGTGGCCGCGAGACACCCCCTAACTTTGTGTGTGTGTGTCTGTGTGTGTGTGTTTCCTGCTGATGGGAAGACACAGGGACAGGCTGGTGAAGCTCTGTGACCTCCAACCTTCCCGTTCAGAGGTGTCCGCCACGACAGTGGTGCTGAGCCAGGTGTGACACCGCCCTTCCTTGAGTAGTACTTGATTATTCTGATGTCTTCATCACTGGGGTGGGGCCAGAGGCTGCAATGACATTCCCAGGGCGGAGGCCAAGGATATTAAGCTTCCCCCAAGGGAAAGAACTGTCCTGCACCAAATGCCATCGGCCCCCTGTTGAGAAACATATTCCCAGAAAAATTTAGGGAGGACAACTAAGGTTTCTCAACTATCTCTCGTTCGTAAAGAGATACCTGCACCTCAGGGTGGGTCTGCCTGGTGACACCCCAGCCACACCCGGCCTGTCCCACCTTCAGTTGGACAACACCCCCCGACCCTCTGCTCTCCCCTTGCCACGACCATTTGTCCATAAATCCCCCTGGGTTCTGGCTGTTTCCTTCTCTGGCGCTTGGGAAGGCCTGTGGAATATCATGAGTCCCTCACTTTCACACTCAATTACTCCCCAACTTAACTTCAAAAGACTTAAAACCTCAGTGCTAGGAATATTCCTTCTGCTTTGGCCACTTCACCAGACTCTATTAACAAAAACCGACTGGGCATGATGGCTCACACTGTAATCCCAGCACTTTGGGGGGCCAGGGCGGGCGAGATGCGTGAAGCCAGGAGTTTGAGACCAGCCTGGACAATACAGCAAGACCCCCATCTCTAATAGCAAACAAAAAAAATTAACTATTTAAAAAAAAAAAACAAAACTCACGTGTTCCTGTCCTGCTTACACTACTGCCTTCCTCCGAGCTGCCCTAGACTAGGGCGTGGGATGCGTGTCTGTTCCATGCAAGGGCGGGCTGCCTGGGTAAGGCATGCAGGTGCCCCCCGCCCGCCTCGGCCGCCCTGGCATGCACTAGCGACAGGCCCCAGGTTCCAGCGTTAAGGTAGCAGGGCAGTGCTGCCTAGAGAGAGAGAGGTTACGGCACGCAGGGAAGGCGCCAACATCACCAGACTACCTCCAGAGACCGTCTCCAGCCAGGCCTGTACCGCCGCGCGGCGTACGGAGGGAAGGTCGGGCACTGAATTCAAAACAGACGACAAATACAAAGTTACACAGCAGCCAGGGCTCCCAGCGAGGAGAGCTGAGGGCATCCCTAAAGTCCCAAACAAGAGAAACCCAGGCGATGTGACGAGACGGAGGCCCGTCTGGTGCCGACGAGGGGCAACGGTCCTGTGGTCAGCCTGTGGGATGGGAACTGGAGGAGAGAAAAGCCGAGGGAGGGCCGCCACCAGCTGGGGCCACGGAGCCCTCCGGAGCCCCAGGCCTGCGGGACGTCCTGGGCAGCGGAGTCTCTCGTCAACTGTGCAGAGCTGCTGGTGTCTGGGGTGCTGCAAAAGTGAGAAACGGGGGTTGGCCTTGCCGACAGGGGCTGGGGAGAATGGACGGTCCATTCGACACTGAGCTTCAGGACCACAGGGTGCTCGGAGCCTCGAAGGGCGTGCGGCCCAGGCTGGGAGCTGAACGTCACCCTGCGTGCCAGTGAGCGAGGGCCAGGAGCCGATGACACCGACCGCATCTGGATGATGGCACGCCGGGAAGATGGCGCGGCAGCCACACCCCTCCACAAGCTCCATTTTCCTCTCTTACTGCTATTCCTTTACTAAAAGAAGCCAGAATAAAGTGTGTCTTCGCAACACAGGTCATGGCACCTAACGCCTGGAGCTGGAAGTTTCACTGGCTACGCTGGAGGCCTCCATGACAGAAAGCTCTTCCTAAAAGTTCATTTCACTTCAAAGCACGCTGCCCGCCCCCTTCCTGCCAATGCTCATTCACACTCAGTCACACTTGCCGAGGAAAGCACCGGAGCGTTGGACAAAGCGGGCCAAGAGCTGCTCTACCTAGAAATACGGGAGAAAGGCAAATTCTTGGCTTTCCCGAGGTCAGTTTCATTTTACCGTTTTGCATCAGCTAAAAGAGTCCATAACCTCTTAATCCACAGAGAACTTTACATATCCTCAAATGAAGGTCAAGGGTGGCTGCCATGACTGGCACCAGGAGATAGGAAGTTCTGTTGACTCCTACGTCTGCTGAATCTGACGGCCTTGGCCCTGCCAGAGAGGCCCTCTGTGGCGTGGGGAAGGGAGGGGTCGGGGGAGCGGGGACAGGGGTGCTCGGGGGGCCCCTGCGCCCCGGATCTGGAAGCAGTTACCTCTGGAAGCAGAGGACTCAGAGGCGGGTGCCAATCTCTCCTCCTCCTCTTTCTCACGGATATGGGTCCAGTGCACATCGGCCTGGATCTCCAGGGGATCCGCCGGGTTTATGATCTGCTGGAGCCGCTGGTTCCCAGCTAGGGTACCGGGTTCAAGGGTGGAGGAGAGGAGGAGATGGTGGGGGGATGGGTGGGGGGAGAAAATGAACAGTCGAGGGGAAGGGATGGAAGACCACAGGAAAGGAAACAGAGAAGTTACAGCATTGGCCAGGACCGGCTTGAACCAGAAAGAGGCAAAAACGGAGGATATGTGCACGCATGCACGCGCGCACACACACACACACACACACACACACACACACACACACACACACACACACACAGCTTCTACTCATTCAGTGTGACCCAGTCATTCCCAGCCTCATGTGTACTCTGTTCAATAAAGAGACCCACACATTCCAACCCAGAGGCAGGAAGAACTTGCCCTTCTGAGGCTCTTGGCACCGAGTTTGAGGGACCCATGTGCCAGGCGGGAGAAGCAGACGACAATCCGCCTCTGCAGACCCAGGCCCCAGGATCGCAAAGACTCAGCTCTGTCCCTAGCATGATGCGAGACACCAAGAGGCCCTGTCCTGCCCCTTTTGCTGGTCACATGGCAAGGTGCTCACGGCCGAGCCGATGGCCAAGCGACTGGGAAGGGGAGGAAGGAGACCACAACATTCTGCCTCGAGCAGGCCGGCTCACTCAGGGCAGAGGTGAACTTTGCAGGCACTTTAGTTCGGTGTGTCTTCTGCAGCTGGAACTGCCGCTAGAAAGAAAAGGTTCCCCTCCCATGACAGGCCGCATGCTGCATGCTGGGTCTGCGGCAGGGACACAGATACGGGCAGAGTCGGGAGGAGACGGCCGGGGGAGAAGAGAGAGTCTCACCCCTACGTTCCCAAAGCATCGGGAGTTCTTGGGTAGGAACACGACCAACACCTCGTTGAGATCAAAGCCCTTTTCCTGAAAACTCGACCTGGTGCTCTACCGAGCCCCTCTGGACACCAAGCCCTGGTTTCTCAGCTAAACGGAAAACCACCAGCGGTCCCTCTGGAATACTCTCGCTGATGGAGCCCAAGGAGTTCACGTGCAGCCCTGGCCCCGTGGGTGCCTACGGTTAGTGCTCAGACGGTGCCATACGGCGGGGTTAAGATAAAGGAGGGGGAGGCTACGGGAAGGAGGGAGGCTGTTCAGGCAGCAAGAGCAGGTGCCACCGGACGTGAAGGACCCTGGGCTCCACCCAGGAGCCAACCTCCATCTGGGTGCGTGCGCCATCCCTCCCCCAGCAGCCTAACCGGACAATCTAGCTTGGCTCCGGTCACGGCAGTGACAGCCCCTTCACTTCCAGCGACAGAGAATGCGACGCATATGGGCAGAAAGCGCCAGTAAGAGCACCGAAGGTGGCTGCTGGCACCAGGCGCTGTCCTTTGTAGGGTACTGGCCTTCGGGTACTCCCTAGGGGAGCTTTGGGTATTCCCTATGGGAGCTGCCGGTCTCCACGATTCATGAACTCTTTCTAAGGTCGGGCTGAACACAGCAGAGTCTGGGATGCCTTAGGGCTGAGGAAGGTAAGTCAGAGAGGAAAACCAGGACCTCTCTCTACCTTCCCAGCCACCCAGGGAAGAGAGCGACTCTTCTGCCCGAGTCACGCTGTGCTTCCCGTCGATACATGCAGCCTCGGGGACTCAGCACCAGCAGGAAGCCAGCATGCCTTCCTCGCAAGAGAAACGCTGAAGGCACCAGAGAAGAAGCTGAGGCTTGATGGGACGAGGGCAGATGGGGCCAATTCAAGGAGGGCTTCTGGAGTGCTCTATTTCCTCCTGAGCCGCCTCTGACTCACGTGCCACTCAGTATCTGATTGTCTGGGCAGGCTGGGCGGGCACAGGGAGGGTGCCCAGCTAGATGTGTTCGATGCCTGTCAGCGCAGCTGTGTAAAACCCTGATCTTTTCCTGTGGGACCTGCTCTTGGAGGCGAAGTTTGGACGGCTGCCAGGGAGGCGGGGTGGAAGGTGGACAAGGGGGCACAGTGGGTACCTTCACGTGTACCCGAATCCTCTTCCTGTGAGAGGTGCTGGAGCCACTGGCTTTGCAGTTCTCTGTCCCAGGGGCAGTACTCCCCTTCTACAGCAGAGGGAGCCAGACACCCACACACAGCATCAAGAATCATCAAGAATCCCGCAGGAATCGAGAGAAAGGGGAGTGGAAGGGGGGAAGAGAATAGAAACAGAGTTATCCTCAGCGGCAAGGCAATCGTGCCCTGCCACTGCCCACACAGGCACCGAAGGCCACTGCCCAAAGGACACACACTCCGGGCTAGGAACGTTCCTGGCCAGGAACTTGAGAGTTTGGCTGATCTGCTGGTATGTGTTTCTCTAGCTAAGACCCATCGCCTGCAGGTTGGATCTTGACGTTCGGTCCAAGCCTGGGAGGTTAAGCCTGCAAGGAGGAAGGCGGGCTGAAACTCTCCTAAAAAGGGAACGAGCTTGGACCCTAAGCCCCGTTGGGACTCAAAGCCACTACGCACTGATGGTCAGATGGAGACGATGATGTCTGGTATGATGCGAAGCAAATGCCTTTTTCCTGGATGAGCTGTGACCAGCGGGGCTCTGCAGACATGGTAGAATGGCAGGTGAGCTCGAGGCTCCGGCCCAGGGCCGCCTTGTGGGCCCTGCCTGGCCTCCGTCTTTGGAGAGGAGGGTGTGGGGAACTGAGAGCGCAGCTCCTCGGGGAGCCCAAAGGAGTCTCGACCCTGACTCTTCACGCTGAGCCCGAAGGGTTCTGGGTCAGAGGGGGCACTTCCTTCTTGTCCACCCAGCTGGCTGAGGGCTGGCGTGTCGAAGCTGCACAGCCCTCGGGGGATCGGCTTGGGAACATGTGCCTTGTTGGGGAAAGGCTCAGGACTTGCTGTGCCAGAGAAAACAGAGTCTGGGATGGGACTGGGCCGCGAGCACACCAAATTCCAGGAAAAGGGGAGATAAGCCCAGAGTAGTGGGGGCAGGCTGGGCTCGCTGTACAGAGCCTGGGGCTGCCCAGAATTGATTCTGTCCCTCTGAGCCCCGGCTGGGAGGCACAGGCGCTCAGAAATTAAAGGCTGTGTCCTTCCTGTTCACTTGAGGCCTGTCCCTAGGGGACTCAGGTCTCCACCTGCCCTGGTTCCTTCCTCACCACCCGCCGGATTTTGCGCAGCCAGGACAGGGAAAGGATGGCCTGTCTCCTTACATAGGGAAGAAGGGGAACCCGCAAGGCCTTCCTCCTCACTCAGGGTCACACAGAGCCAGAGAAGGGACAGAATTGGAAAACCTCAATTCCAAGGCAAGAGAAGACTCCAGAGCCAACGAGAGCAGCTGGATATGGAGACTACGACTCTCCTTTTAAGGACACTGGCCCCAGAGTGCTGTCCTATGTGGCACCAACCAAACCCTGTCCCGTGGGTACCTAAGCTCATGGCAGCCTCTGAAATCCAAGAGGAGTTGCCAGGGAATCCTCTAGAGAACGAATTCCCTTTCTTTATCAAAATATATTTCTTCAATTGAAACTGAAGGGAAAAAAAGAGAGAAAACGAGGAGACAGGAATGAGTGACTCGATTTGAACGACGTCCTCGAACTGGCTCTCTGCCTCCACTTCCAGTTTCTAATCAGAATGTGCACAAGGGCATGGCTTCCACGGCTGATGGCCTGCCAGATACCACGGTGTCCTCTCCTCTGCCTCACACCTGAGGCCAGGAGGGCTCCTCCCTGGGCTCTGTGGGACACACATTCGGGCAATGCCGGCCACGGAAACCTCAGACATGCACACGCAGGACAGACCGCTGCGGGGAGACGGGCAGGGTTAGGAGGAGAGACTTTGTGCTGACCTTCGCTGGACTCTTCCTCCTCCTCCTCATCATAATCTTCCTCCTCTTCCTCCTCCTCTTCTTCCTCCTCTTCATCTCCAGGCCCAAAGCTCTTCGAGGCCTCCAGCTCCTCCTCACTCTTCCCTTTCAGAAGGGCATGGATCCGCACAGCTTCCTTCCAAGGAACACCGCCCAGGTCGGAGGTGGGTAGCTGGGGCTCCTCCTCCTCCTCCTCCTCCTCCATCTCGGACTCGGAACTGCTGTAGGGAGATGACCACACAACAGGAGTGAGGGGAGGACGGACGGACAGCTGAGAAGGGGAAGGGGCCAGGTCGCAGTCAGAAGCAACGCGTCCGGGACGGAGCGCCTATTGGGCGGGGAGGCGGGGACAGGAGGCAAGAGTGACTCTCGGGGCAGGACGGGAGGCACACGTCGAGTGACCCCCTGCACAAACCCACGGAAGGGGATGTCGGAGAACACGAGGCTCCCACCGGGGCCCCTCTTACTCTCACGGACCTCCCTCATTCCTCACGCGACAGACTCAGTGGAAGGGACAGGCCGCCCCAGGGCCGTCTGTGGGTCCGGCCTGGCCTCTGCCTTGGGAGGGAAGAGAGCAGGGAACCGGAAGAGCAGCTCCTGAGGGAGTCCAAGGGAAGCCCTGACCCTGACGTGGACCCTCACGCTGGGGCGACATTCCCCAAGATCCCCGCTGAAGTCTCACAGAGGGCCTCGTGGCGCACGCCGGGACGGTGGATGCATGTGGATAGAAACCCCTGACCCTGGAAATCGAGACTGGAGAGAGCATCTCCTCTCGTCCTGACCTACTGTTTGGACAGAGAAACTCAATGCTGCGTGACTCTGGTCAGTCAGAAACCTCTGGCCTCTCATGAGGTCTGTGGGTACAGAAAGGAGAAACAGCCTCAGGAAGCTAGACTGACTGGCTAGCAATCAACGTCCTCGTGTCAGGGCGGGGTGGGGGGCTCAGAGGGAGACGGCAGACTCCATTTCTGGAGGCTCCATGGGCCTCACGATGGGTGATCCCTGAGGGACGTGCTGCAGGGAGCACACAGGGAGGTGGCAGCGAAGGTGGCACTCACTGCAAAGTCACAGCACAAAGACTGTGGGGAGAGGGTGGAGATGGACCCCCGGCCCTGCAGTCATCACCCTTACCACCCCCAGTGTCCCCACCCCCACTGTCCCCTCTCAGCACCAGGAGAGCTCAGCTGATCGCAGGAAGCAGCATGGGGTCTGAAAACACGCTCACTCTGGCTTCCACAAGCCACGGCTCGCTGTCCCCCGGGACCCCTCCCAATTGTGGGGTTCCAACGCCGGCAAGAACCCTACCTCACTGCACACGCGGAGACGTTTCTGAGACCTGTTTCACGGTCTGATAATTCCCAAAGCGTCTGTTTCAGAGGAGGCCACGGCGTCGGCAAGAGGCTGGAGGAAACCCAGCTTTCGCAACAGAGCCCCAGACCCCAGAAGCAGTAGGTGTGGAGGGGGCATCCGGCCGACCTCCTGCCACGGTGGGGTCTTCTCTCCGCCCAGGATGGGCCTGCTCACAGCCCATTTGTGTGTGCGTGAGCCGGCAAATGTGCTGTCATGGGGACAGTGAGGTCCCCTCCTAGCGCTGTGTGGTGAGGAAGCTGACCTTGCAAAAAAGAGAGTTCTGGCCTTTGTCCTTGGCTTTGGGGAGGTAAACTCTACATCCCCGGGATGCCCTGCCTGAGGGGACTGTCACTGTTTGCTCCGGGCCTCGGGTCATAGTGGACAGTTTAATAATGAGCCAGGGTGAGGGCTTTGGGTCGCACGGGATCGGCTGACTTGGAGACTGAGGTCAAGTATGGAAGCCATCAGTCCACCATTGCCCCATGTAATGAAGCCCCTGGGCGACAGTCCTGTGTATCGTCACACTGGAACACTATGGGGAGGATGACAAAATCACTGGGTCTGATGCTCTCCTGGACTCCAACCTGCGTGCTTCTTTCCTTGGCTGATTTAAATCTGTATTCTCTCCGTGTAATAAGCCCTAACCACGAGTACAATGGCTTTCAGTGAGTCCTTCTGGCAAATTACCAAACCTGAGTGGTTCTGGAGATAACTGGAATCTGCAACTGGTATCAGAACTGGGACGGCCTAGCCGGGTGCGGTGGCTCATGCCTATAATTCCAGCACTTTGGGAGGCGGAGGCTAGAGGAGCGCCTAAATCCAGGGGTTTGAGACCAGCCTGGGCAACTTGGCGAGACCTCGTTGCTACAATAAATCAAAAAATTAGCCGGGCTCGGTGGCTCAGCCTGTAATCCCGAGCCTTTGGGAGGCTGAGGTG